CTTCTTCACTTACTTTTTTTGCTCACAATGTGTTTATACACCTCTCTGCGTTTAATTATTAGTTACTATCTGCCTCTCCAACAGTATGTCTTTGTCCGCTCTTCTTCTCCTCATCTTAACACTTGCGGCAGATGGCCCCGCCCCTCCCTGAGCCTGGATCTGCTGGAGGTTTCTTCCTGTTAAAAGGGAGTTTTTCCTTCCCACAGTCACAGTGCTTGCTCAGTGGGGGTCATACAATTGTTTTCTTTGTATTATTGTAGGGTCTTTACCTTACTGTAGGAATAAAACTGAATTGAAAGTTAGGCTGGACTGTTTTTTGCCAATAATGCGACCTTACAGCTTAAAGTGTCTGGAAATTATTTGTGATTTTAGTCTATAAAAATAAATGTCACCAAATAAAAAAGTATATATACCCATGCCATTATGATTATGTATGCATGGCAACAAATACCCTCACGTGTTAAAACTCCTGAGGTCCTGGAGCCGGTCCCTAGATGGCACTGTGCCCACTGGTCGAGAAAGCAGCAGCCCCCCTGTTTATCATGCTGCGGTGACAGCCTGTAAAAGCTTTTGTCGATGGAAGTGAAGATTTAGAGCCCCGATTAGCAAATTCATATCTTGGCAGTTAATTAGGGCTGAGGAGCTAACTGAAAGCTTTGGCTGCACAGTGATGGAGCAGAAGAATAGGAGGAGGTGTGCCCCTCACAACGAGACAGTGAATTAAGTATATATATATATATATATATATATATATACATATACACACACACATATATGTACACCTGACTATTCTGCTAATGTATCACAGCGAGCACCCACTGAGACACATGAATATGAATGCTTAACCCACACAAGCACAACCGCTAAGCCATTTTTCTGCAACCTTTGATATGGCTTAAGCATCCCTAATGGACATGCACACCTACACCCACAGAGACACGCTCGTCTTTTTGTTGTGTGTGTGTGGGTGAGTGTGTGTCAATGTGCGTGTGCGCCCTTCATAAGTTAAGGTCAGCAGGCTCATATTTTACCTGTCAGGACTGATCAGCGTCGCCTTCGCAGCTGCTTTGCTTCGTTCCCGGGGAGGATACAGCATCTCTCCTGAATGTTTACCGAGATCCTGCATCTCTACAATCTATACAGGGGATCTATAAAACGCCACAGCTGCAGACTTTCCCAGTGCGCAAAGGTGTTTTACAGCATCCTGCTCCAGTGTGGGAAGCAGCAAAACACATTCCACCTGTAATCAGCAAAAGGGCTGATGTGCTGCCCTTATAAAGCTGCTGTTTATGTGAAAGGGAAAAAAAAACATGCCATAAAGCTTTTAAGTGGAATTAACCACTTCATTAGTTGAAGTAAAATTTCATGACAGGTCAACTGTCGGCCTTTAAATGCACCAACGGGAGCCGTGCTGCTCCCTCGCTGTCGTTCCACAGGCCCTATACGGCGCGAAAGCAAAGCTAATGCAGTCAAATGCACGCAGCAACCCATTTAGAAAAGCCATTAGCAAATGTAAATTGTTTTTCTGTCAATTAAGATATGAATTATCCAGCCGACATCAGAGGGATTGATGTAATCTACTTCTACTAATTTGACTAAAAGGAAAAGTAGTTGCTACACATAAAATCCAATCAATAAACTTTGTCAGCCAACAACTGTGTAAGCAAATGGCTTGTGAATATCAAATGGATATGTTTCCTCCACCGGCACCCTGCTGGTGTAAACCTGAAAGTGACTAATGGTTGTGAAAATAACAATACCTCACTGTTTACACCACCTAAATGTTTGAAACCCGGTTTCTTTTTTCTACACGCTGCTTGTTGGGGGGAGGGGGGTATTCATTTCAAATATTTACTTATTCTTTATTTGGGAAAATATTTGACTAAAGTAAGAGCGCTTTTTCTTTACTCTCTGTATTTTCTGCTGTGATTTATGCTGTAATTACCTTCCCCGGTGTTTGTTTTGCTTCTCATTTCTCTCGATGTTATTGCTAAGTGTCATGTTAAGTGGCTCACAGTGCCGGCCTTTTATTTTAATCTCTGGCCTCTGCGGTGTGGAGAGAAAAAATTACTTTTTATCAGCACGTCATAAAAATACGCAGAAGACAGTTATATTTTGGATTAAGGGGATTTTCTGCTTGTTGACTGCCATGAAACCAGCCTCCTTTCTTTACAAACAAGCTTGCAATTAGACTGAGATTCACATTCCAGTGTAATGTTGTAAATGAGGCTAAGAGGCTGTGACAGACGCTCCTGAACATAAATCAGCTCTGACAGCTGAGAGATGAAGGTAGAAAAGTTCTGCCACTGGTGTACGGTGCTCTGCAGCCTCCGGCTCAAAAAAATAGAAGACCAGATAAATATTTAGTGATTTAAAAAAAAAAAAAGAGCTCATAAAGGAGCGAATGGTGAACGGTGATATAAAGATTATAAAGAAGATCAGATTTTTGTCTTAGAAAAACCTAAACAATTATCACAGATAATTTACATTTAATTGCTGCAAATATCCTGTTGAATCAACTACAAAACAGAGCTAAATCACAGCCTGGAGTGAGCCTGAACTACACAAACCAACGAGAACCAGCTAAGTGTGGAACTGCATAAAACTCACGCTCTTTGCAGTGGCCAGCAGGTGGCGACTCAACTGCTTGCAAATAGAAATCTCATTGCACAGAAGTCTACGAGAAAATGAACCTACGTCTTATTAATATGACCTCAGTAAATACTTGTCCGATGAGCTTATGGTCTCAGTATCTACTTTTAAATCCTATTTATCATAGTACAAAGTCCATTTAGTAAATTATGGTACCTTTAGAGTCAGACAGGACAGTGCGGTATGTTTTACAAGTCACAAAAAGTGTGCAACGTTCTTGGTGTCCTGGTTAAAATGTTACTTGTGATGTAACAGGAGGATAACAGGCCTTGAAACATTGTAGCATTTCCATCTGCTGCAGGTTCTGTGGCCCTCCAGCTAAAGTGTAAGACAGAGCTGACATCAATCATGGGAGAAGACACTGGTGAAACAGCTGACTTATATTTTAAGGCAACCAACCAGCGACCTGGTCTTTACGATTAGGCCTATAATAATGAAAACAAAATATATTGGTGTGGCCATCGATTTGTTTGGAGGGCATGCCCTCATAAACTGGATATGTTACACGAGGGGTCAGCTGGCGGCAGCAGAGTTAAAGATGCAAAGATGTTCGTAAAATCTCTTCCTGGTGGACAGGATTAGAAATGAGTGCTTTGAGGGACAGTTTGGAGAAAGTTGGAGAGGCAACCACCAGGATCCCTGAGCCTGGTTCTACCAGAGGTTTCTTCCTGTAAAAAGGGAGTTTTTCCTTCCCACTGTCGCCAAGTGCTCAGAGGGGGTCATCTGTTCATTGGGGTTTTCTGTATTTGTCGCATCACACTGAGGCAACCGTTGCTATGATTTGGCGCTATATAAATAAAACTAACCACTAAGTTGCTACCTCTCTCTGCTACTTGGTGCAGAATAGATGGTGTCACCCCCCCAGTGTCAGGCTACATTTCACTGTGTTATACTTGTATAACTATGCATGTGACAAATAAAGAACCTTGAACCTTTGTCGTTTGACAGTTTTTTGCAAATATCAGCTGCTTGCAATGTTTCAAAACAACAATACGAGAGCAGTGAGAGCGCAAACCACCAGCGTGCACCGTAAAGCTGAGGCGAACTGAGCCGAATGGGGCTTGTTATACGAGTGGCACCCTTCTCACGTTGATTTTGCCGCTCGCCGTTTGGCAGCAGGATGAAGCGAGGAGTGAATGTCGCTGCTTGTTAAAATGAATGCCGTTTGCTTACGCATTAACTTTTTATTGTGTTGACTTATGCAGAGCAAATTTCCTCAGATTTTTGGCGGAGGACTGAAAAGAAGAATCCCTCTGCCTCTGAATATATAAATAATAATAAAAAAGGCACTCCTCCTTCAGCTGAACGAAACCCCTGCTGGCCTCCTTGTTCCCGTAGCCCGGGAGGATGAATGAGTTAATATGTAGTCATTGTGTGAGCTGGATATACTCACACACGGCGCTCTGATACCCTACATCAATGGGCTATTGCAAGTTAATGACCAGCTCTGTGAAGGCCCATTTGCACGAAATATGGACAGTGTAAAAACGAGCTGGGAAAGCAGGTGCTGCCGCCATTGAGTAGCTCATAACCCGGCCATATGGTCGTGAAGAATCTCATTTGGCTGCGCGCTCTCACAAAGACTCAACTCTAAAACCCAAAGCCATTCCTCCAGTGTTGTGAAGACTCTGGACCCTCTAATAATCATTCTCTCCCCTCATCCCTTTTTCTCTTGTTGCATCAGTGAGCAGTGTATGAATTTGCATAATCATCTATAGGTAAATGATAACGTTGAGCTGCTCCGCTCCGGACTTCATTTGAATAGAAATGGTGCCACTTTTTGGTATAAAAGGAAATCAGCGAAGTGATAACAAATGGATGAGAAACTGCGCTTCGGCGAATGGCCTCAGATAGAATCTATCTCCATCCTCTTTCAGCGTCGTCTCCCGTCTTTCTTAGCACAACAGGGACGAAGCGAGTGACAGCATCCTGCAGTCTAACCACCCAAAATAAGTTTGGGAACAACTTTTTCCTTTTTTATTTCTGGGAATTGTTTGGAGTCAAAAAGGAGAAGCAGAAGACGATAATTAAACTGGCTGAAAAAGCCAAGTAGCAACACAAAAACTCAAAGTGAACATACACACCGACTGATTTGCATGAAAACAGAAGAGGACAAATAATTTCAGCAATAAATAAATGACATTAAAAAAAAAAAAACCCGACATATTGTCGGAAGATAATGTCGTATAAATGAGACGTGAAATTAGCTATACAACGACAGAAAAAAAAATCGAATGCAAAAAAAGTGACGAGCTGATCAGACAAGACGATACAGTAAAAAACAAAAAGACAGAAAAAAGGAACTAAATAAAAAACATCCAGTAAGGTTCTAGCAATAGATCTCCAAATCCATCATAATCTGTCTTTATTCTCGTTTCATTTTTTTTGAATTTCCAATAAAAAAATAAATAAATGACATGATGAAAGCAACTTCAGAATAAGGAGGAGTCCCTAAGATCTGAGGGAGGCGTCTTCTATCCGACTGACGGCTTCCGGTGGTCAAATATTCATGCGACTGAAGAGAAACACCATCCAGGGAGACCAGACTTGTCGTCTAACAGCATTTGTTCCCTGCCTAAACAAATGTTCCTGTGCACATCACTTTCTCATCTCCAGGCAAAAGAATAAAAATGTTTCCTTTTTTTTTTGCCATTTTCCTTTTTCCAGTCATGTTGCTACAGCAGAAAAATCAAATCAAACGGTCCAACTATACAAGAAGAGGATAAAAAATAACTCAACAGGAACTGGAATCTTCTGTACAACATTTGACCTGCAAAGCACGACGGCTAGATGTAATAAAATATGTAAACATGTTTTTGACACAGTCGTCTGAACAGATAGAATCACACCGGAGTAAATCGTCAGCCTGTGTTTGTTTGCTTTTTCTTCGTTAAGATTGTGACAATTACATCTTCATCAGACACATTTTATGGTAATGCATTTTTGCCACGGCGTCATATCGGTAAAAGGAAACAGAGGAACGACCGAAACAATAAAAAGAAACCAAATGAAAAGGGAAAAGAAGACAAATGCTATCAGACATTTGAAACTCTGAGAAACAACATTGTACAGTTTGCCTGGTGGATCCACTCTTGCACGCTTGAATGCCGTCTAGAATTCGGATGCCCTGCATAGCAGTCCAATCCTTAACTGAGACGTGAGGGCGGGGGGAGAAAAATATTGAAATACATTACTGTATTACATCCTGCTGAGCTCTGCCTAGTCAACCCTGACTGGCCATCATCCTTAGAAAAACAAACTAAAGAAAACAAAAAAAGTGAAATTCAATATATAAATAAATAAACTACTGATTGATTGAATAAATAAAAAATAATAAAAGAAAAACAAGAAACACGTATACGTTACCTCACGTCGCATCCATGAAAGCTACATTTAATGAAACCGCTTTGTAACGCAAAATCAGGGTTTGACTTCCAACTTTCCCCAACAATCATTGTTTCTTGAGGTCCCTCACTTACACAAGATGCCAGCACCACGTCACATACACCTCACATGCATGCTCAGAATGGCCGAAATGACAGTGATCGTATTTTACAGGGTTACAATGGACAAGGTCGTCAGAACTCCAAGGATCACACACCTCTTAGACAGTCACTTGGGGTCGTGTGGGTGTTAAAGTGATGTTATTCACACTGCAGGATGTCTCCAGCAGGGACTCCTTAAAAGTGTCCACGCTGAGTCCCGGTGCAGCTGTTACTGCATTGTCTCTCTGTAATGCTTACAATAGTAAGTGTGCTTCCATAAGCCAAAGTTCTTTTTTGTAAATGTTTCTCAGTAAGTCTCGAGTTCTAAAGAGATTTGATTCTTTTTAAATCACAGTTGCCAATATGGTACTGTCAAAATGTTCTTAACTTTGTTCCAAACAGTTTGTAGATTTATGGGTCGGGAAATGACTGGATTTCTATACATAATATTCCTTGTCCTTGTCTTTCGGTCTCTTGCTACTGGCGCTGCCTTTGGCGCTGCCGCTGGGTGCTTTATCCTTCACCACAGCGCCGTTGGTTTGCGCAGAGTTGCTGATGTAGTTGCGTGTTTCGTCCACCTGGTAGGAACCCTCCTCCCTGTTCCTGTACTTGTACATGGCGTAGAGGAGAATGAGGATGCAGAGGGCGGCGGCTGAGACAATGCCCACCACCATGCCCGTGGTACTGCTGGATTCCCGGACCACCTCCGAGGCCCCCGGGGGCACCCGCTGCACGCCGGGCACCGTGGGCAGGGCGGCGGGCACCGTGCGCAGCATGGGCGAGGTGATGAAGGGGCCTCGTGGCTTGGTGCCGTCCAGATCGAAGGACGTGGGCAGTGACACCAGGACCATGTCCGGCTGCGGGGGTTTTACCTCGCGGTTGTTCATTTTCCCGGCAGGCAGCTTGGGTGGCGTGTCCGAGGGGACCGCCGCCGGCGGCGTGCCCCGGAGGTCGGGCAGAGGCGAGGTGGGTGCAGTCCTACCTGCCTCAGAGGCTTTGCTAGGCCTCAAGTCCTTGGCCTCCCACTTGGGCGCGAGGGCTTTGTAGCTGCCTTCATAGGCCGATGTGGTCAAGATCTTATCTGTTACCAGGGAGAAGGTGGTGTAAAAATCTTCATCGTCAGTCGGGGGCAGGCTAGAGTCGAAAGCTTCGCCAGAGCCAAACCCCGAAATCACCATGCCATCATCATCATCATCATCACCATCATCACCACCATCACCATCATCACAATCATCGCTGCCTCGGTCCGACAAGCAAGGTACCCCCGCCTCAGTGGCCATGGCCAAGGATTCTTTGGTGGTCTCAATAATGGTGAGGACAGGGCGGAGGGTTGGGGGGAGGGGGATGAAGGGAGAACGGGTGGATACAGAAGGGATGTCTATGGGGTCCTCGACTAGCACGGGGATAACTAGCTCCCCTCCTGGAAAGTGAAACAGAAACAAGCGCCAGTCAGATGGCAGAAAGCGTTGCATCGGCAAAGCAAGAAGCAGTCAAGCACCAAAAAGAATCGGTAAACGAAAAGTAGAAAAAGCAAAGCTCAACGTAGGGAATCAAAAGTACTGAAGAGAAAGAAAGAAAGAATCAAACAGAAAACACTGTACCAGTGCAAAAACAATGAAACTCAGAACCAAACGAGACCCAAATGAAAGAAAACAACAGCCATAAATAAGTATACATTGCATCAAAAGGCTTTGAGGGATGCACAAGGGTGAGCCACGTTAAACTGACACCTCAAATTAAATCCTATATAAGCTGCTGCTGCATAGGAAAGCGGGAATTACTTGTGATGCTGTGGAGTTTGTGGCCCTCGTATTAGTTCTACCTCGTAATTCTGCATATATCTGCACATAAATGACTAGCCCGGGCTTTTAAGAGGCATGTTTCATTTATCTTCAAGTGTAAATCCTTTTTAGCCTAAAACTATGAGCACCGAGAGATGTGCTCTGTGGATAAAAAAGAAGCAGAGGGTATTAGCATTGGTTTTGCAATTCAAGTGCAAGCCAGTGGGCCTGAAAGCAAGTTAACTAAGTCTGAAATGAGAAACTATTTGTAAGGTGTTTCTTATACCGTAGCTGCTCGGAGCGGCGCTTTTTAACCCTGCTGACCTACACGGGCTGGAAAATACTAACAAGCTTCACAATGCATCACAATGATGAAAAATGAGAGGTTGAGTCTTTGGGCTGGAGGGTCTCCAAAGTCCCAAAACGATATCTCGCACCTCTTAGGAAGCTGACAGGCAAGTTTAGGTCTGTCTGACTGATCTACTCGCTGCAGTCACAGCTGAAATGCTGCTGGAGATGAGCGAACCTGTCCTTCCCTCGACATTAGCGGGCTCCCCTACTTGCCCTAGCCTCTTGCCTTTTGACCCCTACAGTTACCACAGTGGCACAAAGTCACCGGGCAGTTCAGCGACACCTGAATGTTTGCTGGCTTGTAACAGCTTGTAAGAGCAGTTGGACGTTATTAATTATTCACACGTAAGATCAAAAGACAGAGACATGCTTCCACATGTGTCTGCCTCTTTTATAATAAAGTCATTTGCCTTTCATTGGTTAAACCTGTTGTTGGACGACTACAAAGACTTTGAAACATTCAGATGTCTATTGAAGCTGCTTATCCTCTTGCCAAGGTGGATTGTTTGTACATTGCAAAGGCTCACAAACAGGGCACTATAAAGAGATGCAAACCTTTTGGAACAATAAAGAAAAAAAAGAGAACACAACAGAAAATGAAAAAGGAAAAAAAATAGAAATAATAATTAAGGCATTACAAAAAAAAAAACAAACGAAAAGAGTTTAGAGTTAGAGCAAACATCGTAAGAAACATTCACAAAGTAAAGCCACAGATAGAGCTATTTAGAGAAAGGATTAGTAAGAGGTAAATTAAAAAAAAGAAAGAAAGAAAACCAAACAAAGTCAGCTCGGAAAAAATCAAAAAAGCCTACGAAAAAAAGATGAAACAGTTTTCAAAGGAAGAAAGCATACCATCAGTTTTGTCAACTTACATCAACAAATTGCCCGCATGATTTTGGCAGGAAGAAAAAAAAAATTTACAAAAGAAAGTTGTGTAAGAATGCCTTTGGACAAGTTAGGTTAGTTTCTTTTTAACATTTTCTGATTAAGTAAGTATATATTTCTCTCTTTTGTTCTTAGACAGGATGGTACAGGGAGGCAACAACACATACATCCACACATCATGACATGAAAATAATCTTCACCATTCTGTTCAGGATATCTTTTTTGTTGTTATTTTTGGAGTTTTCAGAATCATTTTATTAGAAAAAAGAAAACAGTATATCTATAACTCTTGCTTTGATTGATAAGTCTCTCCATAAATATCTACAGCCGGATTAGATGACTTTTTTTTTTCTCATTCTTTTCTTTTCTTTTTTTTTTTGCTCGTTCGCTCGGCTTTAGCTTGCTCGTCAGCTACGAACAAATTGGATGACTGTACATATCTTAGAATCTCTACGTAAAGGGGGTTTCGGGAGGAGGGAGTGTGAGACGGGGTGGGACCTATGAACATACTAGGAAGGAAATGACATAGATGGGGGTGAACGTGTACATCAGTTGCCATGTCCATGTAAAGGCGGCACGAAGCGGTCGGGCGGCATTAGAGCTTTTGGCTGTAAGGAAGGGATGGGGATATACAAACAATGAGCATATACATGCCCATCTACAAAAGAGAACAGCACTCTCAACACTGACAGTTTTACAAACCCTAAGCTGCAACTTCTTTTGCCATGCACAAAAAAAGAATTCAGACTCGTTAATCGATTCGATCCCAATTTCCAATCGGAGACAAGCGCTTAACTTCACAGGTGGATGTTCGAGATCAGCACGGAAACAGTTTTGGAAAGCAGTGTTTTCAGATCGGGGCCAGGATTAGCAGTTTTTCGAGGCAGCTTCTCTTTTTTCTCTATGAAAGTCTCAGTGCAGCTGCATGGTTTTGATACCCAATCTTAAGAGCCTTCTGCTGTTTACGAAACGCTAATTAGTTCATAGAGAAAAGAGGAAGTTTTGTTCTAATTAAAAAAGAAGGAGGGGGGGGGGGGGTCATTAAAAAAAATAACATCGCAATTATGATTCGCAACAAATTAGCAGTTTAAATTTGAACATTGTCAGAAAAGAAACAGAGAGGTTCACATATATGTGGATTAGCATATATGTACAAAAAAAGGAGGAAAATAACAGATAAAGAGAGATTAGCAAGCAAGAAAGAAAGGCATTAAATTTCTCACACTATCAAAGATGAACAACCAGAAAGCACACACTGAGGCAGACAAAGAGAGAGAGGGAGGGGGGGGGACAGTTTATAGGAAAGTGTCGCCACCTTCGTTTAACTAATAATAAGCGGGTTATTATTAGTTACCTCAATACATTTCTCTTGTTAGTATTTCTTTTTAAAACACAGGACAGGGCGTGCAATCTGGATGTACGTCAGAGAAAGAGAGGCAAATCAGACAAACGCTTTTTTTCCTTTCTTTTGGAGTTTGTTTTAGTTCCACTCTAAGAAGTTGGGTTAATGCATGCTTAAGTAAGTTGCATTTAGGGAGAGTAATAATACAATAACAATACAGCAAGCCAGGGGGGACAGGTATGGTGGGGGGAGGGGGAGGGGCTTAAGAAGGGGAGGGCCAATGGTCAGTAAAGGTGACTGCCAGCAAAGGGCTGTGGGATATTTTCCTGATGTAAAGAAGTCATTCACGAGCAGTTACGGTGCACCATATGTAACCACTTTCACTAATTAATATAGAGAACGAGGTAGAGAGAGATCATCGGACGTTTAGATGCTTTGGTGCATAACCGACAGCCTTCGTTTGACAGATAAGCATCTGCAGTTCCACAAGAGGGCACGAGGTGGATTTATCTCTGCACATCAGCTTTGGGTTAATCCTCTGCAGGCTGTTTTACAGAAACCTCACCGTCTCTGCGAGCGAAGCATTATTGAGTAAATATGGCATCTGTCACACTGTATTGACTGCTCCTTATCGACGCCGGCATCTTAAATGCGAATGTCCCTGTCACTGCTCCGGCCCTGATTCAGAGGATGTCACATGATTCAGCAGAGGCCTCGCACTGCATCGCTGCCGTTCTCGTCTTTCACTGAAAAAAAGTCGCTCGCTACGTCGCGCAGCCGCCACCTGTGACGTTCCAGCAAACAGAGCCATAAAACCGCGCTGCCCTGTTAAATAAACAGGAGCGTCTCGGAGTAAAGCGATTTCATCCGAGGCTTTTATTTATCCGACTCTGCCCTCGTCGTCTTGGCCTTGTTTGCATCCTCTCACTCCGTTCTTGGCTAACAGCTTTCGGCTACTGTTAGCTTTGTGCTATATCAACAAAACACTCGGATGGGAGGGGAGACGCTGCAGTGAAGCCCCCCCATTTTAGTAAAGTCAGCGCAGAGGACCTTGATGTTTTGGTAAACACTTTAATCCTGTGTAAGCTCTTGCACAAGCGCCGCACGTCTTGCTGCATTTCAGAAGCAGACAAACACGCTGCTTTCTAATGGGTTTGCTCAACCAGATTGCGTTTGTTTTTCGAAACTCATCAAGATGGATGGGGATTTTATTCTAAAACCCTGCCATCCTAGCAAGACCACCCCCCCAAAAAACTCTCCGCTCTGATAGAGCCGCAGCCAGTTTCTCAAAGGAAGTCAGGACTTGTGACTAGTGTGTTTCTGCACGCCTACTGACTCTCCCTCCTTTTGCATCAATGAGAGAAACCCATCTACTAAAATGAAAATATGAAACAAACTCAATATTAAAGCCATTCCTCTTTTCATCTCACCCTGTAATAAAGGCTGCATGCCTGTGTGCAGGCTTTTTGAAGAGGAATTAAAGTAAATACAGTAACTACTAAATGGCTGATTGACTACCTCAGCAGCTTGAGAGCTACAGATGCAGAAATCTCCAAGAAAGCACTTACTCTTCACTTTCCTCCTCTCCCCCCACTCTTTTCCTTCTCCTCGCTCCCTGGTTTGATCCCCGTGTCCATCCAAAAAGTTTGCTGAGGCTTCCGAATGGAGATGAATCCTGACGGTGTGTCAGGGATTTGACAACGCTCCGGCATAAAAGCAGAAAAGCCGGTGCACCGCGGATGAACTGATTGAATGGGATTTTTGACGCAAATTGTGGGTGAGTCAGTGGTTTGGGGCCCTGAAATCCCATTGTGGTGCAAGCATTGTGCCCAGACACCTGCTGTAGCAGATTCATTCATCCCTACCTACTACAGGTAGGGAACTGATTACCAGAAAGCCAGCAGCACACAGATTCTCAGCGTGGATACACTTATAGGGACATGCCAGGGATTATAAGGGTGTACCGTGCAGCGGCTGAGCTTTCTAGAAGCATGTCGTTTCAAAGCACTTTACCCCACCATTAAACTTATCTTATCATGTCTGCGCACACGTCTGCCAGAA